ACTCCCTGTAGAGCAGCGAGATTCCAATGTAAATAAAATCGTCGGCGGACATTATTGTCGGGTACGTGCCAGCGTCGCGTCCCGCCGAGGGCGTTAAAAAGCGCGTCGTGCATAAAGAAAAGTTTCGTGTACACGTAGACCGTACACCGCCATGATATGAGGTTGGCGACGATAAGTTGGTGTGTCCGGAAGCTCGAAATACCAAGTATTTGTTAGACCGCGCATTGTAGAGGATTGCGGATTGATGCTCGATCCGGCGCTATGTGGACATAACGGCTTTGGCACACGTTGCACGTACCCTTGAAAAATCGAGGCGCGAGCACATGGCATATCGTAGGATCATGGCGGACCGCGGCGAGAAAGCCACGACGACTGACAGATAGACTTTTGTCTGTAATTACGACCTGGACGGCCGCGACGTCGCATTTACCTTACGCTTCTCGAGATTTCGTATCTTATGCTCGAATACGACGATCGCTTGGCGTAACGGATCCACGGTCTCCGTAGAGGCCTGTTTTTCTAGTTTGGGGTTGGCAGAAGGCATCCTTCACGGGCAACAAACACGAACTGGCTGGGACTCGGAATGGTAACCAAGTTGAACTAAGTCACGAGGAGAAGGAGGGGGTAAATGGGACGACAGAATGGCGGGCTGGACGTTTCTGAAATGTTGAGGATTCGCATGCGCGACATATCTTGTCCAAATGAACCTGAATAGCCAAATTTAACCTGTTCTCTCCATTTTCGCCAAAAATTGTGGAGTTGATATTGGTGAAATTATGTGTTTTTTATATAATTCTATTTAAAAAAATTAGATAACTCAGCAAATTAAGTAGTTAATTCAATCGATAGAATTTTTTATTATGAGCAAATTTTTGACGGCAGAATTCTTTATTTTAATTTTTCTTTCTATGGATCGAACAATAAGAGATTGATGATTTTATCTATGTCAATAAAATACTAAAGATTTTAATTACTTAATGAATTAATTGTTTTTATTATATTCATATATAAACATTATTCTACATAGTTACATTTTATTAATTCAGAATGTACTACTTTAGTTTTGAGTCAAATAATATATTTACAATAATTTTCAAATCTTCCGTTTATTTTCAGTTTCTTCAGTTACACTTATTTCAAACTTAAGTGCAAAGATTACAATGAACTATTCCACTGAACATTTACTACACCTGCTCATTAAGGCTGCGTTCGGGAGGACGCTATTAGCGCTATTTGTGTCATTCTATCTTCTTCGTCCAATAAACGTGAAACAAGGATAGCATGACACAAATAGCGCTGATAGCTCCCGAAATCCAGCCTAAGCGCTCAGTGATTTCTTGCATCTGATTGGCATATTCCATTAGATCGACAATTATGATTAAGGCTGGATTTTCATGCAGACAACGGCGCTTTATCACCGAGCACTGATTGGTAGAAACCGGGTGTAGGTGTAAAGGTGCATTCACATGCAAGCGTCAAGCATCAAGCAGAGTTCAGAAATTACGCCTAGATAACTCTAGGGTGCATTTTTGCTATAATATACGTAACGTAACCTACAGCTTAGAGTTATCTGGGCGTAATTCCTGAACGCAGCCCAGTGGAAACAGCAATCAATCAACGAGGCGATTTTTACACAATGGCATAAAAAAGGTTTTTTTACACCACTGTCCGTATCGCCCAGCTGATTGGTTGCTATTTCCGCTGCTTGACACTTGCATGTGAATGTACCTTTAAATTTACCTCCTCATCCATTTTTCATCAATGCATTTCAAATTTATCTAATAACATGATCCGTCATGTTGATCATTGAAATTTTTTATCTCTTTCTTATTGCTTCATTTATGAAAATTTACCCTATTCTTGTTTGTCTAATCTGTTCTATGCTGTTTTAATGGGTGCTTTCCATTTGATGACAAGTCGACACAAGCGTCGTTCTATTCTTTTTGACATTCAGAATGACAAAGATAGAACGATACTTGTGTCAACTTGTGTCATCAAATGAAAAACATCCAATATAATAGCGTTTTCGGCCCGGTCGGGTTTGCACCAACCTGGGTTGGATTAATGGCGTTTTGTGTTCTCTTATTGGTTAGTCTTTAACATTTGATGTTAAAGAAGGACAGATGACGAATCCGAGGCATCGGAGGCATCCGAGTGACGTTTCCGAACACAGCCTGATTAGAGAGCCTCAAAGGGAGAGAGCGGCAAATTGCATCACGTGACCCGTCTCCTCTGATTGGACACAGATATCAAAGCTCCATTGGCATAGAAGAGATTGGAGGAAACTGGTCACGAGACCCCCGGCCTGATTGGACGCGGGCATTCACGTGATGCAGTTTGCCACTCTCTCTCTTTGAGTCTCTCTACATCTGGGGGTCGACTCTGTATCTTCAAACAAGGTGAAAATGACAAAAGTGACCAAATTTACTAGGTGTTGACCAATGAAATTATCAGTATTTTAGTAAATTTGCTCACTTTTGTAATTTTCACCTCGTTTCAAGATACAGAATCGATCCCCTGGGCTGCGTTCAAGAATTACGCCCAGATAACTCTAAGCTATAGGTTACGTTACGTATATTATAGAAAAAATATACCCTAGAGTTATCTAGGCGTAATTCCTGAACACAGCCCTGAGGAACACTCGAGTGGGAATCTGGGAATCAATTGTGTATCTTGATATGAGATGAAAATTATAAAAGTAAACAAATTCACTAGATATTGACCAATTAAATTATGAATATTCTAGTAAATTGCTTATTTTTATAATTTTTACTTCACTTCGAGATACACATTCGACTCCCTGGGGATCGATTGTGTATCTCGAAATGAATGTGTATCTTCAATTGAGTCGAAACGAATGTGTATCTTCAATTGAATCGATCTTCAATCGATTGTGTATCTCGAAATGATTGTGTATCTTCAATTGAGGAGAAAATTATAAAAATGAGCAAATTCACTAGAATATTCATAATTTAATTGGTCAATATTTAGTAACTTTGATCACTTGTAATTTTCACCTCATTTCAAAATTCCACAATCCATCCCCTGAACACGCCCTAGAGTGTTTCTATTAGAAGATAAAGTCACTAGATTAACAAAGTACCGCAAACTGCAGCCATTTTGGCTCCAAAGATACGTCACTTCAATTTTTCTTATCGCGGTACTTTGTTAATCTAGTGACTTATTAGGAGGCAATTTTTAGCGCCATCGTAGTGAATCCACAAATAGTGAACTAAAGTCAATCACGTGATAAAAAATGGGAAACCGATGCCATATTTAAATCTACGCGCGCGTAGATACATTCATATGAATGCAATAAATAGGTAGTCATAAATTATATAACAATTGCTTAAAAACTTATGATATCCTACGCATTTTTTACAAATAGATAGTATTGTAGAAAAGTAGTATTTAATTTTGTGCGGACAAATTCTGCTTTATAAAATCAAATAATCAGTCAACATTTAAATTTCTGAATGAGTTCTACGGTCTGAGAATTATTGGTTGAGCAAGTACTTCTTCCATTTCAATAAGAAGAAAATTGTTTATGATGTTTGTATTTAGATCACATGGCGAATATGCTCTGAATTTCAACTCTAACTTTAGACTTCAATTTGCGTCATACTATTTTTATTTTTCTTTTTTATCTTATCGTTATTCATGTGCACGTACACTTCATGTGCTGATAATTAAAGTGCTTAGTAGAAAATTTTCCTGCAAGTGGTCAGCGACATTTTGCTAATCTTTGCGATTGTTAGCACCTCGTGGATGTTTATATTAAGTTGCTTTGACGGAAAGCAAGATATACACAAGATAAAAATCCCAAAGCTAATAGAATATTTAGAATCAGGTTATACATGTTGCTCTTTCAGCTCTTCAATACTACTAAATGTAATAATCCCCCAAGCAGAACAGCAAGTCATTATGATATCAAGATGACTCCAAAATGACCATTAAAAGTCATTTTTCAATCATTTCCGATTTATTTTAATGCCATTTTGATGTTATCGTGACTTGTTGTTCTGCTCGGGCCTAGTTTTTGGTTTTCCTTTCGATATATTATAGTATCTTGATATGAAGAAAGTAACATGTAAATGTAACAAAAAATATTAAAATGTACTCCTGTAAAGTATAAATTATACAACACAGACTCAGGTAGAATATAAAAGTCACAATAATCAAAGAACGTTATTATCATAACCTTATTTATCATTTACAATTAAATGACAAATGAAGTCACGATGACGTTCTTATATAATATTATTGTGACTTCTATGTCTACCTGGACTTAGGTTGTAAGATTATTGCCCGTATTCATAGTCAGGCCTTATATTTAAGGCTTCCTTAAATTTATCTTCAGATGCTCTACGAATTATTTCATTGGCTACTGAGCATTTAAAAATAAATTTAAGGAAGCCTTAAGTACAAGGTCTGACTATGAATACGAGCTCCTTAAACTTTACAAAAGTATATTTAATATCTAATGTACACATATATATTCATTTGTCACTTATAAGTGACAAAGAACTTGTAAGTGACAAATAAGGTCACGATAGCGTTCTTATGATATTATTGACTTCTATGTTCTACCTGTGTGTGAGCTTGAGTTACAAAATTTAAATTTTACAAAAGTATATTTTAATATTTTTACATTTAAGTGTCTTTACTTTAAAAATTGTTACATTATTATGATCTTATTTGTCACTTATAAAGTGACAAATGAAGTCATGATAACGTTTTATGACTGTATTCTATCTGGAAGATACTTTCTCCGTCCAGCATCATTAGAAAGTGATGGAGAAATGGTAGCATTAATTAACATCAATAGAAATGATGAAACGTTCAAAGATATACTCGTCTCTCCAAGTAAATATGTACGATTCATTCACATTGATCTCTGCCTCTTTCACGAATCCTCCGTCACTCCGGTCACTCTCCGTTTGTGTGCTCGACCGACAGCACTGTCTCCGACACGTTAGTTCTATCAGCGGAGATTTGACACTTGACCCTTGACGCTGGCCTAAGTGTCCGCGTCGGTGGGTAAATCGCAAGCGTTCCGCGGGATCGGCAGTCCCGCGTCAATCATCGCGCGCTTAATTATACTTACTTGGTACATTGGCCGAATTCCGTTATTTAGCAGTCGTCGATCACGTGCATCCGCATATATGATCGCATTCCCCCGCATTACGTGAAACTTGTGATATCCAACGGGCGCGTCCTTCTACGTTCCGACGTAGATGATAAATCCTTCTCTTTAGTTTCTTCTTTATTTTTCTTCATTATTTTTCTTCTTTATTTTTTTCCGTCTCGCCGCGATACGGAATTTTTTTTTCGATTGTTTCATCGAATTGATGTGTGTCAGCGTTTATGCGATAATCTCAGTCAAGAAAGCGGATTGAGACCATGCACGTGGAAAATGCGCTCGCGATTGCCACAGGTTCACGCGCGAGGGTGAGACAACGCGATTAGAAAATTCCACAATTATTCGCAGGAAAGAGATAATCGTGGCAGAAGTTTTCACATTTTCACGAAGAAGCTACGGTGCGCAGTCAACGGGATTTCGCCATTAAAAGCAGAGCTTCAGATTTTCTTCAGCATCGAAATTTAGTTGAAACTGACCAACACTTTGCACCGCCGATTAATCTTACACACATGATTGGAAAATTATAATTATTAAAAATTATAAATTGCAGTTTACAATTTGAAAAGAAACGTCAAGGATAAAGAAGTGCTAAGAATAAGTTGATATATATCGAAGCTGCGAAATTACACCGAGTAAGCAATTGTTCAAATAAATATTATTTAGCAAATTTTTTTTCTCATCGAAAAAGATATACGATTTATCTACGTACAATTTTTTATCAATTTTTTCGTGATGCATTTTTGTTAAAAAAAAATGAGAGCATAGAGAAATAATATTTCTTTTTTATATTTACTGAAAATACAAATAAAAGCTAGAAAATATTTCTAAGGGAAACGGAAGGAAAAACTGTACAATCATAAATCGTATTGTCTTCACGTCGTAGTTATCTATCATCATTCTTGTTAGGAACTAAATCGTCACAGAGACAGACGTTGGCATTGACAATTTGTCGCAGTTATTCACTGTTCGAAAAGGAATAACAGCGAATTATTCTTATACAAACATTATATTTATATTAAAATAAAAATAATAATTTATTATATGTAAAAATCATTTTTTTTTAATTTCGAAAATGATCAATGTGCTCATATCGATTTGCATCAGTTTTCCTACATTTTTTACAACAAATAAATTCTCAATTTTTAAATATTTCTAATTTGATACCTTTTACGCAACGCGTCCCAAATACGCAGAACATTAATCAGGTTTTATTGCCCGACGAATTACATTATATCGATACGTCGATATGAAACTTCATGTGAGGGAGGATTCTTAATTGAACGATATGAAGGACTCCATTCCAATAGCATCATATTCTACACTCATATAAAATCCGATACAAATTAATAAATATCTTCCTTCATATAATTGGCAAATTATTTGACATAATTACTGATATAATTGCTTTAAGAGCTGAAATGCGCGCTTACTATGATCGACGCTGTACTTAATCTTATGTAAACAAAGCCCCTAGTCTAATCTAATCTAGACGTTCTTGGACGAAAACATTTAATAGTCTGTTTTTCGTTTTTTTAGGGGGGAAATAAATTGCATAAACAATTATGATTTGAACCGAAATCAAGGCAGATCAGTTAACGTTGTACCAACCATTCCCGCGCATTCGCGCCTGTAATATATATATATATTGTGAAAATAACGAGAATCCAGATAAGGAATCGCGACAATTATCGGCATCCAGGGAGGAAAATTATTTTCCCCTAACGTATTGAAATCTCTTATCGAACATTTCGTATTGTATTGACTCGACACATTCTGCGTCGTATATAAAAATTACTCGATTTTCAGAAAATATGCTAAAAATCGAGCAACAATTTTTTACATCAATTATATTTCGACTTCGTGTAAATGATATTACGTTTGATAACGTTTTTTAACCTATTTTCTACATTTACTTGAGGCATATAGTGTTAGTGCATTAATTCTACCAAAACAAGCGTCATATTATATCACTTAAATCCCCAAAAAATCGCCACGATTAAACGAAGTTTATTACAGCAATTAATTGAAGAAAAACAACTTGTTAATGATATCTTAACGTGTTTTCCCCCCCGATGCACTTTGTGCCTTGGGGCCGAAGTTTATTTCCGTATTTCTGCGCATGTTAAGCAAATGATATAAGGCGGATTTGGTACTTTGGAACGCGATCCACATTGATGTTTTAATATCAAAACTCGCGCAGCAATGCGAATTGTAAAATATATAGGTCGCTTTCTCTCTAATATCTTCCTCTTATTTTATCTCATGTTTTCTTCTTAATGAACGACTTAATTAACGAGCGCGGTCTTGACCAGAGAGTTTTCAAAGAACATAACAGTTCGTAAACAGTTTCAAAAAGTAGCAGACTAATGCTCGTTTCTACCAATATAGATCAACTTTAATCTCGATTCAACTTACTCTTCATCCTTTTTTAATTCTTAGAACTAGGAAAAGATGAAGAGTTAATTAGACCAAGATTAAAATTAAACTACGTTGGTAGAAACGGATATAATTCACTTTAGCACCTACGACGCTCGGACCTGCGCCGAAGCTTCTATATGTCAGCGAGAACTCGAGAAGTAAAACGAATCAGTATCATAACACACCCCATACGATGAGGGTTTGTCGTCAATAGCACGCAGGGGCGACACAATTACAAGTAGATCGCGATCGACGGATGTCGCTTCGAAATATATTATTTTGCACTCGGCACGCTCTGTCCGGGTGATTTACAATGTAATTCAGGATTTATGCGATCATTCAACCCGAAGCTCTGCAACGTGAAGGCGATTCCATCCCCGTTTCTCGCGTAAGACACAAAACGATATGAACAATTCACAAAAAGCATATTCTGTCTAAAAATTATTTTCTTTTTTCTAAATATCTCTTCATATGTAAATTTTTTTTAGAAATAACTAAATAAAAATTATTTTGAGAAGTGATTTTTACATCAAAATCATCTTGCGTTTTAATACAGTAGATAAATAAAAAATAAAAATTTAACAGATCTTTTTTTATGTTTTAATCTCTCATTTTTTTCTTCAATCGCGGTTAGTTATCCAAGCTTCGTATTGAATTGTATATCGCTTCTGTGCAACCCTTTGATGTAACTTTATCTATGTATTACGTTTAAAGGCCAAATCGCTAAACACAAACAAACACGATCTGGCAAACACTCGTCGTGATACGTGTATCTGTTTGAATAATCGTGCGAATAATTACGTATTATTCCATTGGAACATTCTCTTTAGATATACCACCTCGATCTCTTATCATTTATTATTTCCCAAATTTTCCGAGCTAAAAGCGAGCATGAAATCTCGAATTCGCATCATAACAGATATTACAAGTCTCATCCTCCAACATTTTTTTTTATTATCCTATAAACTTTCAGATAAGAAAAAACATTTTGAAGTAATTCCGCAATTAAATCGAGGAAATACACGATTGCGAAAGATATATCTTTTTAACAAGATCGAACGTGACAGTTTCAGATGATTGATAATTTGATCTTTAACGATATGGGGAACGTAATGCAATTAGGCGAGGCCAAGGACGAGGAGAGCCTCAAGTGCAATGACACGGCTCACATGGAACTACCGATCGAATTGCGTTTCAATGACGGCCACTTGGTGACGATCATCACTTACAGCATCCTAATGGTAATATCGGCCATTGGAAATATTTCCGTGTTGACCATAATAAAAAAACGAAAGTCCAAGTCCCGGATACAGAATCTCGTAATGCACTTGTCGATCGCTGACCTCTTTGTAAGTATAACGACGCGGGCGCAAATAACTTGCGATAAAGTAATCATACCGCTCGCGATTTGCGCTTCAATGCAGCAAACGATATGAGATATGTCGCATCATCCAGGTGACATTTCTGATGATGCCATTCGAAATCGGATGGGCGAGCACTGTATCCTGGGAGGCAGGAGACGCGATGTGTCGCATAATGGCTTTCTTCAGGATGTTCGGCCTGTATCTTTCATCCTTTGTAATAATCTGCATAAGTATAGACAGGTCAGCACAACGATAACCATAAACCGCGTTTATTCTGCGATATATTTCCCTTCTTCAATTAATCGAACGTTTATAAAATTTAGTTGGACGCATTAGTGCGCACTGCGTATTAAAGCCGTTGTACACTGATTTGATCTAACCATAAAAGTGAAATACACAATATTTCGAATTATCAAATACATATTTTACTTCATAGTATAATGAAATGTGTTGATTTTACGGTTTAACTCGTTTCTATGTTTGTTAAACATCTATCTTTACAGCAATTATGTATGTACAATAGGTTTAATTATACACTAATGCGCGCTGATTGTGAGTGCATCCAATTAAATTCATTATTAGTTCCAATCCGTTGAACGTTATATTCCATACAGCAGAAATGTCCAAATTATATCACCTAGTGTCACTAATATACATATAATAGAAACAGCCTATCAACGTCGATAGAATATTCGTGCGATATACTCTACAGCCGTGCGAATATTTTTGCTGTGGGATACGTTAACACGATTTGCTGTATTTAAGATAATCGCACATTTTGAATAAGACTACACATGTAACTTCATCTTCTAGATATTACGCCGTGATGCGACCTCTCCAAATACTAGATATTCACAGGAGAGGGAAGATATTGCTGATGCTTGCGTGGATTGGCTCTGTACTTTGTTCCATGCCACAGGTGCGCTAACTTTTATTCAAACTGTATAAAATGCCACTTCGCTTCGTGACTGGCGTTAAACAGCACGTTTCGTTCCCTGTAGATGTTGGTGTTCCATCTTGAGACGCATCCGAATTACACTTGTTATACTCAATGTATAACGTTCAATATCTTCCCATCGTACGTGCACGAAGTTTCGTACAGTTTGTTCGGTATGGTAGTAATGTATTGGCTCCCCCTGATTGTAATATTCTATACTTACACCAGTATTTTCATGGAGATCTGCCGTAGATCCAGAGAGAGGAGCGAAGGTACGATCGAATGTAATTTATCGCGCTATAAGAATTATTCATATTACATGCTAAAAATTATTTGCATCGCGTGCACTGAAAAAGAATCTAGTAATAGTTATTTAATATTGAGTGAAATAATTTCAATCAAATGTTCGGTTGTAATGTAACCAAAAATTAGCGTGTAGTTGAACTAACCGCTAATTTTACACTTTTCTAAATATTTAGTACATTTTGCTATTACTAGACTTTTTCTCGATGTATTTTTGATTTGATTAACAAATACAGATTTAATAGGAGATAGGTTGTTTAATACGTGGTAATAATAATAAATGATACACTCGTGATATATTAAACAGGTATTCTTTTCAGATCGAATACGTCGCTCCTCGTGCGGTTTTCTAAGCCGAGCGCGAGTACGCACTTTAAAAATGACGATAACCATTATCGCTGTCTTTATTATCTGTTGGAGTCCTTACTACGTGATGAGCGTTTGGTGAGTCTGTGATTACTCTTAATTTCCTAGGATTTTTCTCGTCGATTAAAAATCAATCGCAATATTAGTAATAACATACGCATTTTAAAAAATGGACAGTATCGCCGGACCGATTATATAAACATATAAAAAAGATCGATGATTGACGTACATAATGCACAACTTTGACATGACTGATGTTCACGGCTATAGATACGCAAATTCTATCTTATATAAAAAGGAAAATAACATCTCTCATATTAAAAATCTCGCTATTAAATTCTATGATCTTTATCGGCAAACGCGTGCAAACAGGTATTGGATCGATCGATCATCAGCCCTCAAAGTCGACGCACGCATTCAGAGAGCTCTTTTCTTCTTCGCGTGCACCAACTCCAGCATGAATCCCATTATCTACGGTATCTTCAATATTCGTCAAAGAAACAAAGTAAGTATTATCTATCTCGAACGTTATGACGCTGTAAATTTTCTTCAATTCAATGAAGCTTCTAGCCCGAGACATTATTAACTTCGATGACATCTCATATAAAGTCGTAAATTATTTTATCGACAAAGTTTTGCATTAAAAGATTTAGATATTCGACATGCATACGTAACGATCTTATAGCCGATGTTGATCAAATTCATAGTCACTTTGAGCGTGAAATAGAATTCGATTCAGGACGAACTCGTGTAATTGTCACATTAATTCGATTATCCGCGCTCTATACGTGTTGTTTGCCACGTTTATCTATTCAATTGTAATAGATATTTTAACATCTTACAAAGATGAAAATGAATCTATACCGCATTAAAAAAGAGGCATATTTCCATGGCTCTTGTTTGTTAAAAATTAAAAAGTTACATCAACACTTTCATTTTTTTCTACTCATGCATTCAAGCTAACGGTTGGCTGTTGCCTGTATTTCCAGGCACAGCTTCAGTCCCATCCTCTTCTGAAGCTCGTCAACACAACTATGGAACTTCCTGTTGTTGCATACGCCAGAGATTCCATTTTCACCGTTTTCGTAATAACATTGCCGATTCTTTTTAACCCTCCAACTTCATATAACAGACGTTCATCGCATGATCGTAATGGTAATTTGTTATCTCGATAATTAGATATTTTTCTCTACTAATTGATAAGTAAATCTCCCCCCCCCCCAACCCATGTCTTGCATCCGCATGTTTCCACGCGCGATTAATAGAAGAGTGATCATTGATGCTTTCTTGAAGAAATGAAGAAAACTCTAATATATAATAACTGCAACTACAAAAAACAACGTCGAAAGTTCAAATGTCGAATGTTCTAGACGCAAAGACGTTTAAGAAAACGTCCAAGCTTCAAGATGTCGATTAGACGAGATTTAGGAATTCGGCAGCTTCAAGTTCCACGAAAATTTTTATTTTCGTTCTAGGCGCCGATGCGTACAGCCACCATCGAGACCCGGGTCACGCCGCTGTCTCTATCCGTCAAACTTCTCGATTGTCAATAAACGCGACGTTCGCCGGCTCGAATAGATGCGTTTAAACCAACGGTGTTGGCAAAATATCTGCGTCCTTTTGCAAAAATAAGTTTTAGCAGTACTGCTGTCACGAACTGCATGTTACATAACGGCGCGGATACCGTCCGGAAACTATCGTGTACGCAGAGCAATTCAAAAGTTCCTCATCTTATTCTGCCAGATGCACGATGAGATCAAGCGAGATGAAAGCGACTGTGATTGATCAAATTAAATCGCGCCCGATGGAAGAAGAAGATCCTCTGACGAAGTTGAAGAAACGCGGAAGATGAAGAAAACAGAGATTTTCCAGGGTGAACTCTATGTATTCATTTGTCTCTAGATGTATTTATTTTCAAGTTAGATAAGAAGATAAAAACCTTTAAAAGAAGATTCTAGACTAAGTTTTTATATGCATTTGTTACGATATAAGCAAACGTTGCAAATGCAACCGTGAACGTGCTTCGTCGAGTATGTGTTCTTTCTTTTTTTTTATATATGTTTATACTTTCGCGACACAAGGTTGTGCAAACAAGTTACGTAAGCTATTTATACACCGTTTATGTTCCGTATATTTTTATAAGGAGGAAAAATATCTCGAACAAAATGTGTGTATTTGCATTTCGCGTAAATCCTCTTTCTTTTAAAAGATAAACTCGCAGTCAATCTGTTGTATTTCTATCTGTATATTTTCCGTAAATAATAAAGGAAAATTGTAATTTATGTGACAGGCGTAATATTCAGATTACCATCCCTGCGTGATCGGATAACGTAATATGTTACACGTAATGATATATTTCGGTCCGTAACAGGTAAGGGAGTCAGCGTCTCTTTCCCGGAATCTGCAGACGCATCTCTGTAGCATTCGCCAGCTCAACCTGAATTGAATTAAATCTGCGTGACTTCATACCGGGTCTGGTACACATAACAGACCAGTTACATACATCAGACTCAGCCCGCACATCGTATCTGTAATGTCGGTCAATTAGGATGGAAAATTGATCGCATGGTACGGTGCGGTCGCGCTAAGTCTCGACCAGCATCCGACATGGCTGAAACGTAGTTAATGACGAAGACGAAATGACGGCAGCGAGCGAAGTGATCCCTTTCGTTCCGCGTGTTCGCCACGGCACGTGTATCGCGTGAACAAAAAAATGGCGTGACGTGTCGACACGTAAAAGCAAAACATTTCATTATGTTGAAATCGGTTAAGAGCAATAATCTTCCGCCCATAAATTTTCAAGCTCTTTCATTGCTACAACAAATTAAATTAGAAATATCACCAATCGTCAGATGTGACAGAACGCCGGACGAAACATGGAAGAGAGAGTTAAAAAGAATACGAAGAAATTTATAATAATCCAAAGAACACACCAAGTTAAGAGAAAATCAAAACGACTTTATTTTGTTGTTATGAAAATAAAAATGATGATTTTTTTGTTACAAAATTTGTTTATCGATGTTAAGAATAAAAATAAAGTAATTTTGACTTTTCGTTGACTTTTGTGTGTTCCTTGAGAATTTTTCCAAGTCATAAATATCTAATTTGCAAAATGCTGCTATTTTATTTAAAGACCGTTGGAGTTAAAGACATTGCTTACGCGCTCCCTACATCGAATTCGAATATTAAATTTTAGGTAAAAGATGCAAATTTTTTTGGAGACACCACGTATATCACCATGGAGGAAACTAGGCTTTCTGCAACGTGTCTACGGTTTGAAACTGGTGTGGATGTGTAGGTGGGACCACTTCCCACATACGTGTAACTGGCACATCAGCGATATTGTTACATACCTGTTGCAAGGTCCGTCCCATCGAAAAGACCTAAACTCCTGTAACAATTCTCTCCGAGATTGGAGTAGTTTTTAAAATTTGTTTTAGCTATAAAAAAAATTAATATATCAATAAGAAGCCGAAATTACGAACGCAGAAAACTGGCTATCTTCCTATAGAATTTCCATATAATGACTTGTCTACAAATTACGATGTGATGATAGCTTTATAGGTACAGGTATTCCAAAATAAAAAAAACATGGAATGCTAATGTGCGAATGAATATTGCATATTAATCGATTTCGCCGAGAAATTCCTCGTGTCACCGTAGAAGGAAGCGTTTAATTTATATTAGCGCCGGCTCTGACACACCTTTCCGCTATGACTATTTCATATCGTTAAAAACATCTTGTGGGCGGATGCATACAATAATGCCGGAGTAATGTATTGACGATATCATTAATCATTCAGCCAGATCATACGGCAATAATATTGCTTACTCGGCTGTCCACTTCGAAAAAATTGCAGAATTGGTTTTATAAAATGCATCCAATAATGTAATAAAATGTAAATTTCACAAAAACGTAATACATATTTAAATAAATAATATTTTTGAGATAAAATATTTACAAATAAACATAAATTAATTTTTCCATCCGTCTGTTTTCTTCCGATCGTCCAATTTAATTACAAATTACATTCGCATGTGAAGATTTTTATTTGCAATTTTTATTTCTTTTTTCTTATCTTTCTATTTTCGTTGTTTGTGTTTGCAAGATTAATTTTAAATTTCAAACAGTCTGTCGCTCTTATTCTATTGTTTTCTTTTAGAAATGTAATTACAAATTGCAATCTTTTTAAAATAATAAAATAATTATGATCTTAATTCATCTTAATTCATCAGTGTTTTCTCTGCTCGTTACGTATCAGACGCAGGTAGTACAAAATCTCGTTTGTAAAGCCGTATTCGTGGGCGACGTATAAAGTCGCGGACAGTCCGTATCCGCGCTTCAGTCGGCGGCCGTGCCTTCTGCATCCGCGCGCGTGCCGTCGTATCCATCAGAATCTACTGCATCGCGATTCCGTGACGAGAGAGTGGCACCGAGAGGATTGCAAGAAATTTGGGTTGCACTTTCTAATTTTTGGAAAAACCCACGATCGATACCGAATACTCGCGCAGAGCGCGTCGGGATCGCATCAGGATGCGGGTCCCGATTTTGTTGATCCTCGGACTGCTGATTATCTACGCCGTCGATGGTAGCGTCATACATGACGAAGGTAAAGGTCTTGATTATAAGGAAAGTGACAAATATTTATGTGACAAACGTTAATTCCATGTTGACGAATTAGCAACGATCGTGTTAACTCCGATTCGCATTCTCTTCTTGCGAAAATGTAATATTTCTTCCGTTACTTTCTTCACGTTTCTTAGACTATACTGTTGAAGACCATTCGCGGCGCGGCGCGACAAGAAACCCGGTAGTAACGTGAGATCGGTGATACGTGAGACATCTTCACGGTTAGATGCATTGGTCAACTCTTGGTCACTCAACTCTTGTATTCTTTTTCACAGAATTCTTTATATTATATCTTTAAATGTATTAAACAGTACACATAAATAAAATACAACTTTCTATTAATTAAGCTTTTTATTATATATATATATATAAATACAGAATTATTTTTAATTATGTTATCTTTTTTTTATTCTGCTTCTTTATAACAGCTCTAACTGAAAGCATGCAGAATGCTTGGTACGATGATGAATTCATTATTGCAACATCCAACTGCAAAGATAAGAGGAAATCTTCCGGTTCAACGGAGACTCTGTTGTCTGTGAAATATCGGACGAAAACGAAATTAGTGCTCTTAATCGATCGACGAACAAAACGCGGTGAGCCAAGATTTGTCTGAATCACGATCCTTTAAACTGCTGCGTTATCATTATTTTAATTTATTTAATGTTTGTCGTTCCAGTTATACTTGAGAGTCTCGATGAGATGGGTCAACGCAGGACATCACATGTCAAAGTGGACAGCCTCACTGTGAACACTCCTCTGAAGAGTCTGATTATACTGGTGCATCAAGCACAGCCTAATCCTCGCGTGGATGTGTACGTCGATTGTACTTACGAGGGTTCTATACCGTTCAAGACAACTTTCCGCGACATAGCTATGGCCGAGGACAACCTAGCCTTGGAAATAGTAAGTTTTCACCTTTCACAAAACAAAGTTTTAATTTAGATAAATCTTGGATGTATTATCACATATATTAGTTGAGTCAATTCACGCCTTTTCTACGCTTGCCGACGAATTAAAAACAAGTAAACGCGAATACATTGTCCGAAGTTGCTTTTTAAATTAAAAAAAAATTCTCACTTGTTTCGGCATCCTCAATTTTGCCCGATATTATTTTTTGCTACCGCTTTCTTCACTCACGATATCGTATAGCAGTTTCTTATTTACGTGTTGTTCGTGACGTCCACAAACGTGGGACGACGTCTTTCCAAATATGGTTGACGAGACCTAAGCTAGTTGCTTCTGTTACGTGCACCTGGTTGGCTTACCCAACTCAGACACAACGATCTCCGACTACTCGGATGAATTGAATTCGTTTTAATGAATTATTCGCGCCCTATTTCTGCCACTAGTGATATTACATTCTGACTTTATGCAATATTATAACTCTACAATTACTTTCAATTCTCGATTCAATTCTTGTGGATTTCTTTCACTACTAAAATCAAAATAATTCTTTGAATTGTCATACGATTTTGACAGAATAAAAAAATATTGTTAATTTTTCTCTAGATAATTACAATTCTCTTGATATATTACAAAAGAACTCTGTTTATCCGAACATCAGGGAACAAGACAGTTTCGATAACCGGTGATTTAGATAATAGGAGTTCACTAACTACCAGTATTTACTAGTTCCGATAATAGAAGCTGACGTTCAGAAAATTGAAATCGAGCATGTCGAGTTCCTATTACTATAACTACGATACTGTAGTTCAGATAATAGGAACTCAATTACGAGTTCGGATATTTAGACCTAAGCATGAACTTGTTTGTGTAGATACTGTAGATAAACAGAATTCTATTGTATATTCTTATCTCCTTCTTATCTACTAATTCGTCTAATTAAAATTAATTTGATTAACAGCAATATTTATTCATTTATAAATACGTTTTAAAATTCTTTTAGTTCAGAGAACGAAAATGCCGAATAAAAGTGTATCAGGCTGCAACCATCACTGATGTGTTGAGGAAAGAGCAGTGTCCTGATAGCCTACCCAACATGAAGCAGCCTTCAGTATTCGAAACCGATACGCCGAAAACACGACCTATTGATTCTGATGAAGACTATCAAAATAAACCTATCGATCGATCTGACGAGACAAGTGATGAAATTAACGGAGGGGGATCGAATATACCAGATCAGAATAATAACGGCTTATCACCTTCCAGTAACTCAAAGTTTCCCTGGGATCATAAAAAACCTTCCAATAAGAAGCATCACAATGGTTATCCGACTGATAGCAATCGACCTAAGAAAAAAGATCACTCGGGACATCCAAAAGG